TCACCTCCAGTTTGGACGGACTGACCGTCCAATTGCTTTCCGACACATAAATCGATTTAAAGAGATTGAAGTGTAGTTTGAATTCATTGCCGTCGGCGAGACTACAGGACACGTCTAGTGTCTCGTCAATCAGTTTCACCTTCACGTCCGACTCCTTCAGATTCTTGATCATTATGTTGAGTATCACGTGAGTCGCCGTCTGGTACCTGATCCAGGAGAGAGGGGGAGGGGGCGCGAGGGGGCAGACAGACAACACGCATAGATTAGTGTAAGTGCAAACTTTTTAACCACGATTAAACTAATTGTCACAACTAGTGTGACCAGCAGTGGACTTACCAGTCGTACACATTACGGGTAGCGCTAAAATTTCCGGTACTTTCCTCGAGCATGTTGGTAACGCTATTTTTGTGATCTTGGTTAAAATTTAAATTCAAATTACTTGACGGACCCCGTGTTTGGACACCCGGTCGGGGGTTTATAAACCCTGATTGTTATGTCAAACGAATTTAAACTGTGACACAAAAGTTTGAATACAGAGTTTGTATATTGAATTGTGTTCTCACTTTCGACTGAACTGTTGACTCAATTCATATAAAGATGGCTGAAGTGAACCGTTCGTACGCTGTGTTCACCATAATTAAAGACCCCAACTATGACTATGATCGCGATATATCACTTTGGTTGGGCACACTATTTCATGAATACCCATTTAATTTGTTTAATATAATTTATCCCGTTTGATTACCACGTGTATATCACGTGTGTTGTTATATTTAACCATCATTAATGTTAATTACGTGATAAACTCCCCGTGAATTACGTGTCGTAATTGGTTTTCACCACGTTTTGGCTTAAATATACGGCTTTGTTTGCCTACACGAGTCCACCCATAGATGGCAACGCTATACACATACAGTGCACTCCAGTTGTTGTATTCATTTCTGTGCATACAATACACACCTGTATTACCATAACTGTAACAATAGTTTTATTGACCCTTTTTTCTACTATGAAAATAATGATGGTTAGATTTGCGCACAATTAATATTTGTTACCATCATTTCAATCATTTTTAATATCTAGATGAATGAGGAAAACAGTAATTTTTAGTATTTATTATTTAACTTTTTTTGTAGTTTAATATATGGTTTAAAACATAGTCTCTGTGTATATATCGGCGAACATCTGGTTTTGTTGATTGCTTTCAAACACATGTCTTGAAAAATATAGTTTTAAAAAGTTTTTTAATATATTGTTTTGAATGTTGAGGGGGTTTGGAGGGGGCGAAGGGACAGACTGTCCCCAAAATATGGTTATTTTAGCTGTTAGTTTGTAAATATGTGTTAACACAGGCATACCTTTATGCAAGTTTTTAGCCCTGGTATCCAAACCCCTTTCCCAACGGATAATCTGTTGTATAATAATTTGCACTATAATTGATACAAATTAATAGCAAAATAAGTTTTTAATGCATTAAAGTTAGAATAAAATACTGTCGGTATATTAACCCTAAATTGTATGTAAATTTGAATTATATTTGATTAGATTGTGATTAAATATCGCAACAATTATAGCCCACATAATATACAGAAGCGATTGGTATCTGATATATGCGGAGAGAAATACGAAAACACTGTCTAAAAAACTACTTAAAATTTTTACACAATATATGTGGGAATGGGTTAAGTCTGGGCTAACTATGCGCTAAATAACCATCACGTCTTAATCACGTTTTAATAGTGTTTTATTATAATAAAGGGTAGAGAGAAATGTCTGGCCACAGATATATTGCTATCAATTCATTAATATATGTAAACATTTGTTTGAGAGAAACAAAATTATTATATAATTAATACGAAATGCAAATGATTTTTCGGGATATCATGGTATGTGTACAGACCGGTTGACCCGTGCCTATAGCACCCGTACCACCGATTCACCCAATAATAGGGTCGCCAGTTGTTGTGTTGAACATCAAAGTGTTTTTTATACGATCACGATTGTTTTTAAAATGTATATATTTATATACATTGAACTACTTTTTAAAAGTTTTTTTAATACCCATTCACGCCATTTAGTAAATACCTTTTTTTAAAGCAATTTCATAAATATATTAAATGTTTTAACCGTTTATTACGGGAATTAATCGTATATTTATTGAAATGATTTTCAGTGTTGTTTCTTAATTGTATTTATTTTTATTAAATATATTTTTCTTGTTTTCTCGTTAACAATATTTTTATGATCTTTAAATGTATTTAATATTTCGTTTCCACTGTTTTCTCGAAGTTCATAAAACTTTATATTAATTCTCTCTCTCTCTCTCTCTCTCTCTTTTCTTTCAATGACTTTTCTCTCTTTTGTTATACATTTTAAAAGAAAAAATATATATTTTATTAGTTTTTTGACATTTGCTAACAATAGGCGAGAAAATGGTTTGTATTGTTGGCTAACATTTATATAATAAGTTATAATAAGGTTTCAGTTAAATGGGAATAAACAGTGCATTAATTGCATAATTTACGAGCGCTCCGGTATGACAGACGCTTGACATTCATTTTTTATAGCAATTAATTTACGATTTCTTTGGCCTATTATATGAAAAGTTATTTCATTTTTTTTGTTAATTTAATTTAATTATGATTTCAAATGAATTTCTTGGAAACAGACAACAGAAGTGACTGTCTTTTGTCTCTAATATATTTGATTTGTGAGTGTTTTCTCGTTATCTTCTTGTGATAATCATATGGAAAACATTTGAGACATAGGTTTTTGAAGACAAAGAAGTGGTCACAGAAGTAGAGGATGAGAGAGAGATGTGGAGGAATGTGTCGCCAGAAAAATAGGCACTCGTTTATCAAACGGCTGTTCAATATATTCACAAGTTTTTCACAGAGACTGACGACTGAGAAGAGAGAGAAACAAACGATAAAAATAATAATCAAAAGAAAGAAAATTTTAAGGATTTTTGTTTGAAAACTATTTTGTTTTCGGGCAGAAAAATACAAACCAAAAACTTTTTTTCCGGTGGGAACTGCTGTTCACTATTGAGGAAATGTGTGCAAAAGACACCATTCGGTGCATTGGAGAGAGAGAGAGAGAGAGAGAGAGAGCACAGGAAACAGGAAGGAGAGAGGCTTTGCTCCACCAGTTTAGGAGATCAATGGATACGACCATAACTAGTGTATAGTATATGCCCTTTAAAAACGTAAATAGTTTTAAATCTCTACGACTATTGACCATAAAGTTTAAGACGACTTGTAGTTAGACTTTTAATCTCTCTCTCTCTCTCTCTCTCTCTCTCTCTCTAAACGGTTTGTTTCTCTCGCATAATATTTTTCTCGGAAAATAAAATAAAAAACACTTTTTGATATAATAATAATACAGAGTATACACTAACTATACACTAAACTAATTATAAAATGCAAACAAAAACAACAGTCAAAGTCAGAGGCAATTAATTTCCTTCGCCTGAAGTCATGAAGAAAAACCATAAGTAGAAGAAGTCGTCTAAAAAACTTATTAAAGCCTAACAAATAATTGCCAATTATTTATATTAATAATATTATTATAGCTCTCTCTCTCTCTCTCTCTCTCTCTCTCNTCACAACTCCTTTACTCTCTTTATTTTCCTTTCTCTCCCTTTCTTTTGCTGTATTTCTTGACAAACATTTTTATCTTTGCATTCATTTCATCCATTATTGAGAATTGAATCCTAAAATTGAAGTCCAATGGACCGCAAAATTGCTGTCAAAAAGAGAGTAAAGGAGTTGTGAGTGAGAGAGAGAGAGAGAGAGAGAGAGAGAGAGAGCATTGAAAGAAGTCTTGAGGGAAAATGAACTCTTCATTCATTTGCAGCGCACCCGACGTCTTGAGCCCAGAGCTAAACAGTTTTGCTGTCGTTTTCTTCGCTCGTCTTTTATTATACATAACATACATATAAAAAGATAGTCTCATGTCTTGTCTGTTATAGACTTTTATGTGTTATTTAAAGGTCAGTGAACTTCAATCGCACACAAAGTCTATGAAAACAAATAGTAATTTCCATTTCGGACCCGAAGTGCGGACCAGTTTTTTCTTACCTTTTTATTTATTTATACTCTCTTTCGCTGTAACTCTCTTTTTTCCTGCGCTCTTGTTTTACCCACGGATTCACAATACCTGTGCACTCATACAGTGAAAGGTCTGTCCCCTCCCTGTGTCTTCAGTACAATCACATTCTCTCTCTCTCTCTCTCTCTCTCTCTCCTTCTCACTCACAACTCCTTTACTCTCTTTATTTTCCTTTCTCTCCCTTTCTTTTGCTGTATTTCTTGACAAACATTTTTATCTTTGCATTCATTTCATCCATTATTGAGAATTGAATCCTAAAATTGAAGTCCAATGGACCGCAAAATTGCTGTCAAAAAGTTTTTCCAAGAGTTTGATCTCTGGTGGCGGCGATTCATACATGTCTTGTCGTACCATAACTATAGATATATACTGTATATTGTATTCCTCGATGTTGTCCTTCAATCTCTTTTAGTGTCCGTTCATCTGTTAAATCACACGTTCTCTTACATTAAACTCATAGCCCTCTTGACAACCAATCGAGAGGTGTATTAGTTTGGGTTGTGTTTGCTTTTCACAGCACCGGTAGGGCTGACCCGAGAGGGGTATCTCTCAGCTTATCAAAGGAGAGAGAGAGAGAGAGAGAGAGTTAATGTTTAATGAAATAATTATTTAATGGGTGAAAATATGTCAAGAAATACAGCAAAAGAAAGGGAGAGAAAGGAAAATAAAGAGAGTAAAGGAGTTGTGAGTGAGAAGGAGAGAGAGAGAGAGAGAGAGAGAGAGAGAGAGAGATGTTTGAATAAAACTTCACATTTTGATAGGCATTTGATCGCACAATTGAATGCAAAAATTTAATTCAAACGCTCCCTCTGTTTAAACTGGTTGTCTGTCTGTTTGGCAAACAGTTTACGCAAATCAAGTGCTGATGTGATATAAAACAACACTTGAAGTGTTGATTAGAAAAAAAATCTATTCATTTCATCTCTCAATTGATCATTTAGTCGTATAATTATATTTGCATTCAATTTATATGCAGTGTTATTAACGCATACATACCTGTGCTATCTCTGACAGGTGTCCACTTGGGGCCGGGCTTTTCAATTCACGGACGAGGCTTCGACACTGGCCTATCTGACCAATCGGGAGTCATCGCTGGGCGGCTACAGCACTGTCATCACCCAATTCTATCCCCGCGACCCGCGGGACGACCCCTTCCCTGTCCTGGTCTACATCGCTCTGCCCTGCAATCAGCTATTCATGGGCTCCGCGTCGCTGGACGTGATCGCCAAAGACATCGCTCTGTCGGCCGGCATTTGCGGCCCGAATGTCGAGTATTTGGCAAAACTGACGGCTTTTATGCAAATCCATTTGCCGGACGAATCCGACGATCATTTGTATCGTTTGGAGGATTTGGTCCGAAAACAGGTGAGCGGTGGCGGACAGGAGTGCGACGAACGGCTCCTCAAGTTGTTTGACGAGGCAATGGATGAAGAGATCAACGATTTGATGCAATTGAAGTCCGTATTGAGTTTGGCTGACGAAGAATGGCTGGAAGATAGTGCCAACCAGTCGTCGCCGCTTTCTTCTGGTTCCAGTACTCGCAGCGGAAGTATGTCTTCGAGTGTCTCGTCAACGGAGAAGGAGATGATGGCCGCCGCCGGTGGCAGTCAGTGGCTGTCGTCGGCTGAGCCGCCGAAACACACGGACAGAGTTAAGGCCCGGAAGTTGCGCTGTATTAACAAGTAGTTGCCGCCGAAGACCGCCCAAAACATTATGGTTATTGTCTGAAATAGTTTTATGAAATTTTCATGCATTTATGGACATAAAAAGTTATCTATAAATTATATCAGGCATAAAAATCTCGCAATCAATTGATTATTATATAATGTCTATACAGACGGACAGCTCTTTGTATTTATTATTATTTTGCATTCATTTGTTTGATGACAATCACCAGCCAATCGACAACTGATGGATGGCTTTGTTTTTCTCTGTCTCTCTATTAATATATCTCTTTTGACGACTGATTTACTAAATATAATGTATATTTGTAATGCAATATTTGAACCAAAAAATTATCAATATGTTTTTTGTCGTTTTGTGTTTTGTTGTGTTTTTTCTACCGATAAATAAAAAGTTTTTTATTTATATTATTATGTGATGTGTTTTTTCTTTCTTTCGGGTTATTTATATTCGCATTTAAAGCCGTACAACAAATATACTGTATATACAAATTGTATTGATATTTAAAAGTCTATTTTTACAACAGTGTTGCCAAATGAGAGTGAATTATTGTTGTCGGGGAAGGGGTGGCATCGGAGGGGACTGCGACAGGTATATAACATGGGGTAATATTGTATACCTGGGAGAGTCAACGGTGGAGCACCTGTAGCCGAGAGAGAGAGAGAGAGAGAGACCGAGTGAGTGAGTGAGCCCTGAATAGAGATGATTATAGTAATGAAAATCTCACACAAATGTTGTATTTCTTATACAAAATGTGAGAAAAAAGGAGAGGAAAGAGAGAGAGAGAAGAGAAAATAAAGTCCAAGAAAAAGACTGAAACGCTTATACCGTAGGAAAGAGAGAGACACCGGACCTAAAGTTTTTGGTGATGTGAGTGAGGGGGCAGTTGGGGTTGGGGTAGAGGGGAAGGCACCGGGATTTGACTGTACGCACACACACTCGCACTGTACGTGCATTTGAGTGGTTTTTATAGTGAAAAACCTTAAATGCAAAAAGAATAAGAAGTTTTTCCCACGACTGGAGTCGTTGTGTTTAGGCATAGGTTTTGCATTGGAGAGAGAGAGAGAGAGAGAGAGCCCTAAAGGTATATATAAATATATATAAGAAATGGTGAGTCAGTGCGTTCTCACGACCGTCTTTCACCTGTTTCGGCACGCGATGGGTATAAACAGGGTATACATGGGATGTGTATTGTAGTGATGGTGTGGATGGTGTCCTCATAGGTCTTCACTACACATCTACTCCAATGGCAACAACACATACACACTCCCAGTGCTCTCTCTCTCTCTCTCTCTCTCTCTCGGCTACAGGTGCTCCACCGTTGACTCTCCCAGGTATACAATATTACCCCATGTTATATACCTGT